AAATGTAGATGGAGGCGAAATGAAGGCACCAAATGAACTTGTTATGCATAATCTGTACAAGGCATCGCTTGAATTGAGGACAAAACATGGAGTTTTATTAAAATCATGAGGAAAGTACATATCCTCTGAGGACTTTCAATGGTGAAATGAGTGACTTTTGTACGAGCATGACCGTATTAGTGAATAATTTTAGATAAGTTTTTCATTGACAGTCTTTTGTGTAAGTCATAGAAAATGCTGATTTGAATACGTAGCATATGAGGCTTTCTACACCAGTGAAGGGTTCGAGAACAGGTAGATAAAGTCTTCAAATGAGATTCCGCCGTCCGGGGAGATGCCATTTAGCGCGAGAATGCCTTTAATCAGATCGTCGTTGTCTCCACGGCCGAGCTGGGTGAAAATTGTTTTCAATTCATCCAGCTCGATTCGACCTGAGTTGTCCGTGTCGAAGAGATTAAAGACTCTACGAAGTCGCTCCTCACTGCAGAAGAGGCAGTAAATTTAAAAAATGTTCCTATGATAATCCTTTTTAGAAAAGCAAAGTTGAATTATGCACCAAGGGGGGAACTCACTTAAACTTATAAGTTTCTCAGACTAAGGACAAACTTGGTACATGCCTTATGGTACTAATGACCAAAGAGTGCCTCAGAAAAACATAGAAATTCACTAGCTTTCATCACACTAAAAAGCATAGTTACCAGATTATTATTCGATTTGGTCTCATTACCAATTGGAGATAAAATTAAACATAAAAATATGATGATGTTACTCCATTTGAGTATAAGTCGGTTTAGAGAATAATAGTACTCCCAAAGGGATTCGATACTAGATAGTAAGTATCCTAGCGATGTTATCCCTTAACTTCACAGTCACGGATACCAGATAGTCACAGGACAAGTCAAAACTTGCTTAAATCACAGTTAATGTGGGATTTTTGAATAAGCAAGCATGCAGTTGTTAGTGTAATCGACGACGCTACTTAAATTCAGTATAAATAGGTTTCAAAACTATCAGTAATTATTTCATTAAAACTTGGCTACCCTTGACTACTTGATATGATCTAATCAGCATTCCCATCGTAAAAGTTAATTGATTGAGACCTGATTTGCCTTGAATACCACAGCGAGCCTGTGGCACACTTGGCTGTGGAGCGAAGTGGTAGCGTCACCAAGATACTAAGGACCCGAAAACGAATCCCATTGGGTTATCCCCGTGATCAGCTGACCCCCCCGACCATGGAGCTGAGGAGTAAAATCGCCACGATACTTAAAATCTAGCAACGAACCCCATTGTTGATGGGGGTTAGGCTAGGTCGAAAATGAAATTCAATGACATCCTGAGGCCTTCTTATCGAACTGTGGAAAAACTCGACTGTTAGTACCTAATCTACCTTAGGCGACCTAGGATCACTAATTTCCCATATAAGAACGTCTCTAAAGTGCAAATAGATAATACATACCAGTAATTATTTAGCATTCTTATAAAAGTAACCTTTTAATTTCGTCCTACAAACAAGTTTCGGCCATCACACATAAAAGCAGTTATAAATGGTAATAAATAAAAATTCATTTTAAAACTCGAGATATATAAAATTAGCATACTTTTAGTCCCTGGAGCAGCATCCCCTCCATTTAATTTATACAGCAAACTGACTAAAAGGGCTGGATCATACACAAACTCATAAAAGTGCTTAGAAATGGTGCTTTGCATCCCACCTAAGGAATATTTGGGGCTCAGAATGACCTACTGGCCACAAAGTCCGGAAAGCAAAGAAGTAATTGTCTATTTTTGCGATAAAAATCAGGCGCATCTAAATATGGCCTCCAAAACTTAACTGCAATTATATCAGACGGTCTACAACTGTCGAAAATGGCATCCTTTATTGCATCTATTAACAACCATGTCACCTGGTAAATTTGACTAATCTGAGCAGCATATCTACCTTTATGCGGCAGCAAAAGTTGTGTACCTTCTTTTGCGGAAAGGGGCAATTATATAAATACTTATATAAAT